CGACGAGGCCGGTGGGGGGCCAGTGGGAGGCCCGCGGCAGCGGGGCCAGGGCGGGCAGGCCTGGCGGGCAGAGAAGTGTCCAGGCCGCAGGGGGCAGCCTGGCGGCTCCAGAAGACGGGAACCCCACTGTCTCCAGGGGCAGGACCGCCAGGGCTCCCAACGGGAATCGTCTCGTCGGGGCGCCGGTTCCGTCCTTCTGTCACCCCGACACCCCTGGGCACAGCCAGGGCCCGTTCAGCCGCGTCCAAAAGCCCACGGGTCCTCAGGCACCCGCCGCCCCGTCCAGGGCACATCCGGCCCCCAGGAAACCAGCAGCAGAACCCGAAGCCCCGGGCCAGGAGGGCTCCCCTCGGCTGGGGGCCTCCGAGCCAGGGGCCGTCCGGGGCCCCCTCCCGCCTTGCCGTGACCCCAGCCTGTGACCGCTCCCGCCGCAGCCCCCCGCTGGCCGCCCGTGGCGCCGGGTCTGGGCATCCCGGGGTCTCACGCCCGCTCCCTTCCAAGCTTGTGAGGATGCAGGACGAGGTGCCCGCGGGTCTGCCCTGGCTGCACCCCAGGGGCCCGAGGGGGAGTCTGAGCCACGGCACACGCTGGCCCTGCCAGGCGTGGGCACACCCCTGTGGGTGCAGGGCCCTACCGGTGTCCCCCAGATGTCCCCAGACAGTGCTCCCCAGCGTGATGGGACGGCCGGGGAGCAGCCTGGAGCTCCCAGGGGAGGGGCGGTGCGGGCCTGGCCGGCCACTCAGGTCAGCCAGCCTGAAGCCGGCCTCCAAGGCCCTGACCCCCGCACAGGTGACTGAGGCCAGGCAGCCCAGCGCACCTGCCCCGGGAACCGCCCTGCCGGAGCCTCCGTGGCCACAGCCCAGTCGCTCCCCTTTGCCCGGCCGCCCCACAGAACCTGCCCCCCGCCCCCCCCCGCTGGTCATCGCCAGGACTGGACAGGCAGGCTGCAGAGAGGGGCTCGGGAGGCGGCGCTTGGAAGGGCTCGTTCGCACGTGGGCGCCTCCCGCGCCCCCGGGGTGCCCCTTCCCCTTAACAAACCCGAGGAGCTGGCAGAGGGGGGCCCTGGTTCTGGGGGAGCCTGAGTCCCACCACCCCTTGCCCGAGGCGCGGTCTGTCCACTGACCCGAGCAGCGCACGTGGGCACCCGCGCCGGTGCACACGCTCACGCCCACACACGCTCACACAGGCACACACACACGCACACCACACGCTCAAGGCGCACACACAGGCGCGCACACGCACGCAGGTGCACACGCACACAGGTGCACACGCTCACACAGGTGCACACACTCACACCCCACACACAGGCGCACACACACACACGCTCAAGGCGCACACACAGGCGCGCACATGCACACGCACGCAGGTGCACACGCACGCAGGTGCACACACTCACACCCCACACACAGGCGCGCACACACACACGCTCAAGGTGCACACAGGCGCGCACACGCTCACACGCACACAGGCCCACACGCTCACACAGGTCCACACGCTCACACAGGTGCACACACTCACACCCCACACAGGCGCACACCCACATGCTCAAGGTGCACACACAGGCGC